TCAGCTATTTTTAAGCATTCTTCCATGGTTCAGCTCTCTACAGACCTATCCCATTTATACTGAATAAAAAGTACAAATAATACTGCATATAAAATTCCTGTTTTCCTCATAATTGCCAGTTTAAATGGAAATTTCTGCCTCTGTCTTCTTAACATGGATTTTAAAAAGTAATTTTTTTGATGGAGAATAGTATTAATACTGTTTTTTACTTAGTTTACGTGTTTTGATCAGTTTTCAGTGTGCCACTGCCAAAATATTGTGCTCTCTCTCTCTAATTTTTTTTTCTTTCAGAATCTATTATACCACCTAGTGATTTTGATAATGATATCCAGGCCATGGTCACTATTCCTCTGGCAGGCCCTGATTTGGTAAGTTCATACTGGTTGTTATATTTATCTATTTCTCCATGAGAAATGAAATTAAACAATGTTAAGATGTACATAAATATACAGAAAAAGGCTTTTATGCTAAAATACATATCTGCCTTCTATAAATGCTGTAAGGATGAATGTTGTGGTGTTATACTGCAACAGAGATACTGTTTAGAGCATTTACAGGTGAATATTACTGCTTGATTACCTTTTCCAGTTTTAGTTACAAAGTAAACAATGTCTCACCAGTTCAGCAGTACATCTCAATGACAGAAGGAAAGCAATTGACAGAGACAGTGAAAGTCATCCTTCTTTGACCATTTTTAAAATTACAGGCAATGTGTTTAGGATCACATGCACATGCCAAACATTTTATACATCCCATGACTTCATGCTCTTTGCAAGCTCCTGTGGCTAAAGATTGTTGGCCTTTTTACCAATGAATGTTAAACATAATAATGAAAGCTGCTTTCTAAAAACTGTTTCAGGAGGACTCCATGAGTGTGGAACTCCCACTAGGTTACCCCAGCCCAGCAACAGTGGACCAAACAGGAGGCATCTTGGTCAGTGAATTTACAACTGGAATCCCTGTGCTAAGTGCCACTGAAGACTTTAATAATTTTGTTTCATCTGAACCTGTGTTCCCTACCAAACCCTCCAGAGAACCATTTCAGGACAAATCTTCTCCAGACACAGAAGATATCACTACTGACCACCAAAGTTTCACAGTGCCTTTCAATGCTCTGGTTAGCACTAGCAGTCCTCCAAAACCAGAGGCTTCCTATTTGCCTCCTCCAGCAGATGATTCTGCTAGCAATGACTTATCCACCGATGGCTATGAGTCTCCAACGGAGCAGGCTACCACACTGGCAGTTTATACCACAGGTAGCTTTACCCCACCTAGTCTCCTGCAAGCTGGAGATGAGAATAGCGAAGCTGAGGAGGAGAAAGAACTGACTGATATAACAGAATCACCTTTCAAGGAAGCTGACCGAGGTAGTCTGTTTGGACAAGGTAAGACAAAAAAGATTTTTCCATAAGAGAGAGTAGGAAAGATCTAGTTGTTATTACACATACAGTCACATACAAGTACCGTAAGCATTCCTTTCAGTTGTGACAGAAATTTTTCTGGCCCATCAAAGGTGAAAAACTTACATTTCTGATACCCACTTCAGGAAAATCCTAATGTACCTGACTTCAAGGTTGTCAAAGCAAAAAAAAAAACACCCAACCCAACAACAAATGCCTAAGGATAAGGCACGCTTTCTACAGGGTATTAGGTAAAAATTCAAAAAGGCAAAGCCAAAAGACATGACAGAAAAAAAAAATTAAATTCCAGGCTAACAGAAAAAATTCCGCTATTTAAAACATGGTAAATTACTTTGGGTTCTACAGACAGATCTGCATGATAGCAGCAAGAGTATCATGGAATAATTTATTCCAAGCAAAGGGTATCATGGGTCAGAAAAGTTTACATATCTACAGGTCTGACGAATGTGAAAAACTTTTAAAAATTTCGGTTTTCGATGTTTGTTTATTCAGTGTTATCCATACAGTAGGGTTTTTTAGAGGCACCCAGATGTATGAGAAAAAACACATAGTAAATCAAAAAAGTATATACATACATTTGTCTGGGTGGAGAAAAGTCTGTATAATTTAGCCTTTAAAATGAAAAATACATGATAGACATGTTTCCCACAGTTATCGGAAAAGTGTTGACCCTGCAGATGACAAAAGTTCGGGCAAAGATAGTAGGGTCATCTTTAGGGCACAGGCAAATTAGGCTTTCCCCTAGAACAGCAAAATGTCAATAAAGGCTGCTGCCTCCATCACCACCATCAGCAGCTTGGAAAGCCGTGCTAGACACTGTGGAGAACTGTGGTGTGGAGGTAACTGGATTTTATGGGACAGCAGCCTCCACTGGCAAAGCAGCGAGAGCACGGTTCCTGTTATTGCCCTCTGTCTGTCCCAGCTCTTGTCTGCTCCCTCTCCTGCTCCCTGACCTGGCCTCACCAACTCAGCATTAGGTCAGTAAACTTTTTAATTTTACTTACACTTCTAAGAAGCCTGTGCTAGCTGTGTGAGATGCAAGAGGTCGCTACAAACACATGGGAGGAATTAGTTCTTTGATGAATATTCAGATGTGCTTTGTCTCAGATTTTTGACTGACCCTCTCAACAGAAAAGCAGAGGGCAGGTAAGAACTTCATATGAATCAGCAGGATTCTCTGAAGTCCCCACATAGTCTCTAAGCAATACTAAAAAATCTGCAAAGAAGAACATACAAAAAACAAATTCAGAGGCAAAATTCCCACATTAGTTTGCACAACCACACTCAGTGCTTCTGGATCCCCAAGAATGTCATCCTCAAAGCTTGTAAGTTTGCTCCCTGCTTCAGGGAAGTCCCCTGCTCCCATAGGAGGCTCTGCTCTGTCCCTGTTCTGCCAGCTCCCTCCTTGCTCAGTCCTTGGCCTTTGGAGTGAGCATAATGAACCCTCCTCCCTCTTTCAAGATGTTCCTACTGGCCCAGCATGCCCAGAAACAGCAAGAAGGCACTTTCATCCCTGCTGCCCAGCCACATCCTGTAAGGCAAACAGGCAACGTTGGCATAGCTGATCGGAAATACCCCACTGCGTGGTGATAACGTCCTTTACGATGGGCCCCCACAGCAGAAATGTGAGAAGGAGGAATGTCCATGTAGTGTACTGTCTATAGTATTGTTCTTTCTGGATCCAGTAAATAACAAGATCAGCATTTTAAAGAATAAATAATGTAAAAGTTGCCACTTGGGATCATACAATAATCATCTCTGGACAGGGAAGAGCATAGCATATTCCATGGTCATGTTGTTGCACCTGGCAGTTTGTGTACTGAATAAGAACTTCCTGTTCTATAGTATTGCCTTTATACACAGAGTTCAGAGGTGAGGAAAAGGCAAATACTTTATGATTAGCAGAGTGACTTAAAGATTAGAAAATCACTTCTTATAAGAATCAGTTGTGAAATGTTCCTGAAAATAAAGCTTATGATGACAAGTGTTAAACACAACTGTTTTCAAATACATGCTGTGAAGTCTTGTAGTGCTACTGATAAAAGCACAGCATACTTTCAAATAACAGTACAGCATACCTTTAAATTTCATTCATTATAACTGTGGAAAAGTGTTACATTTGCAGGGGAAAAAAAGGTCATATGCATTTTTCATTCTACTCGCTCATTGGGTTAGGGATTTGATGTCATAAAACCCACATAAAACTACGTATCTATTTCGCAATTTGCTAAATAGCTGAAAAACCTTGTAGCCTAACAGCTCCAAATGACTGAAGAGAAGCAGCAGAGGGTATTTGACTCACCAAAAATGCAGAGCAACTCATGCTGAAGATACTAGTTCCATTCTTTTTCTTCAGATCAAAAATTGTAAAGAATTTGTTTATTGCAATTTATTATAGTTACTGCCTGACTGTTTTTCATGGGATGGGAGGAGGGATAAGGAGATGGACCTCTCTCTGGCCCCAAGGTTCAAGCTTGCTTGATTGTTCCCCAGTGACAGTGTGGGACCACAGTTCATTTGACTCTCGCATAGGCCCTGATACGTCAGATCAAAATGGGGATTAGATTATGTGTTTCTAAATGATCCTCAGAGACAATATATTGCATAGTTTAATGAGTTTCAATGTCATCAGGCCAATATCAGGACCAAGGGAAATTTTACAAAGGATAATACAAATGGAAGGTTCACCTCTTACTAACCCAGATTTCTTCAACAGGTTTTTCTCATATAATTTGAAATTCAGTAAAAAAATACATATAGGTTTTTCTTCTTCCTAACGCCCAGAGAACATGGGATTGTTCACTTAAAAAGGTGTGGATATTCTTTAAGTCCAGGTTTGATCCTGTAAGCACCGGGTACTGACCCTTTAAACACTGTTGCACATTTGGGTTGGAACCTGTCAATCTGCAAAACAGAATGAACTGTCTAGAGCTGTAAAAAAAGCTTCCCCAAAATAAGGCCCACTATCTTGTTCCTCCTTGGTGAACACAAGTTATGTCTAAAACAAGCACTAGAATATAAGAATTCCATCATCATCTCTGCAACTGCGTAGAAGGAGAAAAATGACTCTTCCCTGTCTAAAAAGAAGGGATGCCATGTTAGCAATAACACAAAACTGTAGTTATTATATTTGCTTAAAATCTTACCATACACAACACATACTGCATACTTAACAGAAGAGAGATGTTGAAAATCTATTTACTCAGTCCTTAAAAGAGTAAATACTGTATACTCTTTAAAACTTTTTTAATAGCTTTTTCAATTCTGGAAGTCCTGTGTACAGCATTCCCTGTATTCTTTTATTTCCCTAGATGTTGCATATTTCATAAGAACTGATAGAATTTGATCTGGAAATTCAGGACTTAACAACATTTATGACAGAGGTTTTATTAAAGTTAACAGTGTCAATGATATTGATTTTAATATGGCAAGCAGAATTCCTCACCAGCAGATACAGAATTTTTCACACTTTGTGCCTGGCTGCATTTCATAACCACATTTCTTAATAATATTTAAAAAAAAAAAAACAACACCTTTTAACTGTTGCTGGTGTGAAACAGCAGGAACTGCTTAGACAGTGCTGTATAAGGTTGGACAGAGGGTCAGGGTTTAAACAGTTGCCTGCAATTCTACTACATTAATTTCCAGCCATTTCCCCACCCTACAGTCCAGAAGATGGAGCAAATTCTCTTCATCACATTTAGAACATTAAATTCACTCTTCTTTACCATGAAAGGAAGAGCTGGCTAGCAGAAATAACGTAGTTTGAGATTCTTTTAGGTGTCTTCATCAGCTGTATGTTTCACAGATGGTCTTTATTGCATTGGTTATCACATACGTGTAACTACAGGCTGAACGTTACTACAGATTCCTGAACACCAAATGTCTACAACCTACACCAACTACTTTAATTGTGCCTACCTGAGGTCACTGAGCAAAGCAACAAAAAAAATTCTTTCACAGCTCCCAAAAAGATAATCAGTCTCAGCCTCACACATACAAATATGCACAAAGTTCTGCATACAATATCTAGGGAAAGGAGAGTAAAAAACAGGTGAGGGACGAGGAGTCAAACTAACAAGAGGTGTCCTTTTAAGCCACGCAGGATGGGATTTGTCAGGCTTGGGCAGGCAGTGATAGGAATGAGCCAGGAGCAGGTGTGAAGCTTCTTTCAGATGGTACTGTGCTCATTCTGGACAGTGATGCCGTCCATGGGCAGTAAAGAGCAGGCCAGTGAGGGTTAGACAGCTGTGCTCGCCAAATGGTGATGGCAGTTACTCCACCCCTTCAAGTAGCCAGAACTACTAGGAAGATGCTAAGCTGTCTTTAAAGTAAGCCTCACCTTTGAATTTCAAATTCTGTTTTGAGATTTCTCAATAGAATTAAGAGAGAAACCCTGGTAAAAATTTTCAGACCTCTTACTGAAAAGTTCTGAAATGCCTGGATCAGATGTCGTGGTTTAAACATTTGACTACTCAAAAAGGTTTTTCTTTGCTGTAGCCCCTTCAAAATCTAGGCTATTTCCATTTTCCATTTAAAACCAGTGCAAAAAACCTACTTTTTCTACTGTCTGAGATTATGCCTGTTCAGTGTTCTCTAGCGTTCCTCTTTCTTCCTTTTTTTTTTCCCCTCTGGAGTTAACTCATCGGTATCTCTTCTGTACGGTTAAATTTCTTCTCCCTCTCTTTGCAGTATTCTTGTGACTCTATCCAAAACAGTATGACCATTCAGAAAGGAAGCCACTTGTGTAACATATTAGATAGACTGTTATTGCAAAAAACAAGAAAATTTCAGCAGTAAAACAAACGCAAACAAATGTATAAACAGATAAAAGAGTTCATGAACACTGTAACAACAATAATGATATACTTTTACTTCCTAAACAGTAAGAATAATTTTAATTTGTATTTGTTTTAATTGTAGCTACTAACAAATTATACAATCCAGGTAAATGGTTATCCCAA